ACAGTGATTGCCAGAACTACTTCTTAGGGAAAGGATTTGAGAGGAGTTGTTGAGGTGACTGACACAGAGCAGCCTGTGTAATGTACTCCCAGACCCTCCTGCCATTACAGTGGAGGAAAATTGTCCCACAAAGTGCTTGGCCTTCGTGCCAGGATCCCCAGCACATTCACAAATCATACACGTAGCACACCGGAAAACACCAGCATCTTCCACAGAGTGCAGGCTCTGACGGGTGGAACTGAAAAGCAGGAAATGACATTAAGGAAGTTGTTAAGCCTTGTAACCCAGAATAAAGCCTGTGTATGTCAAACAAAATTACCCATGCTAACAGAGTAGGAGTCACTCTCCTTCCCTCTTTTTAGCTTTTCTTTCATCTCCACTCATGGAGCAAAACTCTCAGTGCGATCGGTCACACTGGTTCAGCTGGGGACAGAGAGGGGCACGAGGAGAGGAACGAAGCGGGAAGGCCCTCCCTGCGTTCTCAGACACAGACTGTGTTTTTGTCTTTCCCTCGGGCTCTGTCATTTCACTTTCCTCTCCTGCAAGTAGCACTTGGAGAGCGAAGCAAGTGGGGGAGAGGTGTGAGAAAGCGCCCAGGCTGAGCTGTACGCCTGGAGGAGAATGAGGATGTGGGGCACAGGCAGATGAGCTCTGTAACGTCGCCATGGGGCCCTCAGGCCCCACCACACGTTACTGTGTCCTGGCAGGGCCCTCAGGCTCCACCACATGCTCCTGCCACAGCAAGGCTGGTGGAGGAGGGCCCTGGGCTGCTGACAGAAGTAAGTCGATGAGAAGCCAGAGGGCCAGAAGCAGGCGGAGGCTTCCCGCTGCGCCGCAGGAGTGAAGGGTTGGTGATAAACCGCTGGGGATAAATGGCAGCACCTTCCATCACCACTGCTGTCTACTCCACAAGCAGCTGTTGGACCGTGACAGCGAGGGCAGAGAGAGGGATTTAGTGAACAGCTATGGCCTCCCTGACAGCATGCATCAAAAACACCGCCTCCCCTACGCCACGCGTCTGCAGACAGGGCTGGCCCAGCTCTGGGGTTTGTCTGGCTGTAGGGTGTCATTTATCTCTCTATCTCATGCTTCCCAACTCGACAATTTCCTTTTAGCACGAATCTCTTTCCTCCACCTCCTTCTCCCCATTATAAATATATGAGTGCGTGTGTTTCTTATTTTTTATGTGATCTCTCATAACTGCCAAGAAAAGAAAAAAAAAAAAAAATCTCTTGACATAAATCCTTTTGGCTCGGGTTTCTTGACAAACATGCACTAGTTTTTCTTTATCCCTCACACCTCTCTTCTCCCCACAAACTCTCAGCAAGTTTCTGTAAGCTCTCAGCTCTCGAGAGCTCTTTGAGGAGCTTCTCCTCGGGAGGAGTCACCGTGCTGGAGTGAGAGCAGGGGGGTGCCTCCTCTGATGTGCAGAGCATGTAAGACAGGGCACAGGTGCCTGCCCATGTATTCTGTCTCTGTAGGTGCCCTGGTTTCCTCCACCGCATACATCCCTTCAAGCATAGTTGTGGGAATGGTCCCATTTGGCTTTCAGTGCCTCCATCCTGAGGTCTATGCCCCCATTTGGGTGGGCTGAGCTCTAGTCAGTGGGCCCAGCTGCTGTGTCCGATGGCACACACAACTCCTGTGACAAAGAGAAGAGTCCCAAGCCCCAAAAGTTCAATCCTGGAGTGTTCCAGCCAGGAGGCCATTTCTTTCTGCTCTTCCTGGCTGCAGGCTGAGCTGCAATGCAGAAATCTCCACCTGAACTGACCCTCAGCTGGGGGACTCAGCACCGAGTTGGCCCGTTCAGTGTGTGTTAGCAACCAAAGGCTTCTCTCAGTGCTCCCCATGGAGATAAGGCTGCTCACAGGTTGGGACGGCAGCAAAGCTGAGGTCCTTGCCCCTGGAGGCTTGATGCTCTAACAGAAGTGCTATGGGTCAAAATGGATCCAGTCATCAGCTCTAAATCCCCTATTGAACTTGCAGAGTTCTCTGAAGCAAAGGAAGGAAGGGTTTTGCTGAGACTCACCTGTACCTAAATTCTGGGCAGCAAATGAAGGAAATGCCCAAATTTCCTGCTCAGACAACCAGAAGGGACAGGTGGTTTTCAAGGCTCCAGAGAGACTTCTATTTCTTAAGCTGATGGACAGGATCTTGAAAAAAACACCCTCTAAGATGGCCGGGTAACAAACATCAATGCCTCCATCAGGGCAACACCTCACTGTCTGCCTAAAGTACAGATGCAAGTCCGGTGCCTAAGTTAGGCAGAACTGCTCATACCTAGCTTTTGTGCCTTAACCTCACCAGAAGCTCCAGTTACAGTGAAATATATGGGGCAGCAGAGCATGGCAGCAGAGCTAAAGCCCATAGATCACAGAGTTAAATATCCTACTGCGGGCTAAAAGTGAGTGCGCACAGTTTCAGCCCATGTGTTGGCTGAAGTTATGAGCACGCAAGAAAACGGGATTTATAATGAGAATGGCAATTCAACCTCAATTATAGTGCGCGACTGTCTGCACACTATAAACTGGAGGTTTAATAATGAGGCAAGTAGGCTGAAGGAGAGAATTTCATTGTATCTGTTTCGCAGCCTGGAATTCTTACTAAATTCATCAGATCACTTGAGTTCTCCTGACAACTGTAGCAGTATAACTAATTTTAAAGGGGTTTATTGTACATTAAGACTGCAACAAAAGATAGAGGCAGAGAAAACCTCATAGCAAAAGAGAACTCCAGATTGAGGACTATAATGTATATGAGATTTGAAAGAAGTAAGTGCTAAAAGATGTAGACAGCAGTTTTTCAGGGTCCTTAACCTTGATGAATAAATGAATAAAATCCCTTAAAAAATTGCAGTGTTTCTTTCAAGTGATTTCCAGCATGTTAATGATCAAGAGAAGCTGAGAAAATTACTGGGAAAGGAGATGACTTTCCTCAATATGCTCTTACCACAGAGACTATGAGGCAGACTTGAATTGTAAGCAAATAATAAGCAATGCAAAATATGAGAGGAAGCAAAGAACAGAGGCTCTTTAGCTGTCCACGATGCATTTGCATACAGGTGCGTTGACTGCAGGACGTTGTGATGTTGCCAAATCAAAGCTTTAATGGAGACTTGGAGCCTTCCAATTCTTCCATAACCAGATGCCTAGACACAGCTCTCCTTTACTGTATTCACTTAATTTGCTACCCCAAAAGACAATAGGACCCCAAGTAAAAGAGGGCTCAAAGAATAAATAGAAGCCTAAATCTACCACCTTTAGCATTGCACACACCATGTACCAACCTCCCCAGCTGATACTGACTGTGAAGGGGGCTTGAATTGCCCACCTCTATCTCCTAGGTATTGCTGGAAAAATACAAGACCCACCAGTAGAATGCACAGCAGCTCACCCATCAGTGCAGTCCACAAAGGAGGCATCTCCCCACCTTCTGCATAACAGGAAGGGAAAAATCTCTTTGGGGTCCTGGTGCCGCAGGATGCACCAAGGGCTGGGTGAAGGTGAGACAGGGAGCATCAGGCTCTAATGGGGCACTTGGCTGCTGAAAATGTGGGTGCTCCCAGACTTCTTAAGCTGTCAAAGGAAATGGCAGATGAGAAAGGGGCACTGAAGATGGAAATTGTGGAGGTATCATCCCCAGCAGTGTTTTGACCTTACAGCTTTACGTGTAACAGTGCTTGCAGACAATGCTCTTGTCTCTCCTTCTGTCTTTGAACCCTGCCAGCACCCCCAGCACCCACACACCCCTTTGCTCTCCCAGCCTCACCAACCTTTAGCTAATAATATAGCTGATTAGATCTTTCATCATTTTTATTGTTATCCACCCGCAGATTAATAAAATAGAGCTCTGCCTGTTTCTGGCTGACCACGTTCCCTAATTTATCATAAAGGCTTCGCCTGAAATATTTCGGTGTGACATGCGGGGAGAGCCGCAGTCCCTCCCAGCCAAGCATGTCTGCAAGCGAGCACGGCACAATGTCCCAGAGTGATATCACCCGTATTCTCACCACCCAGAGCAGAAGTTAACACTCCGCAACCAAGCTGCTAAAGCAAAATTACCAGAGATTGGTACCAGAGGCACAGAGGTGGAAAAATGGGGAGTTAACTCCAGCTCACTGGAGCACACTGCTTCATACCTGTACCATCTCTTAATACAAGGGAATCTGCTTTTAAAGCACTCCAAATTTTCTCTTTAAAGACAGTAATTACAAGGGTGACTTAACATGGCCTCAGGGACTATCCTGCAAGAATTGGAAGACTTGATCCCTTAAAAGTCAAGAAGCTGAAGGAATCATGAGACCAGCAATAGCTTTTTTTCCCTTCCCTTCCCTTCCCTTCCCTTCCCTTCCCTTCCCTTCCCTTCCCTTCCCTTCCCTTCCCTTCCCTTCCCTTCCCTTCCCTTCCCTTCCCTTCCCTTCCCTTCCCTTCCCTTCCCTTCCCTTCCCTTCCCTTCCCTTCCCTTCCCTTCCCTTCCCTTCCCTTCCCTTCCCTTCCCTTCCCTTCCCTTCCCTTCCCTTCCCTTCCCTTCCCTTCCCTTCCCTTTCCCTCCCCCTTTTCAGGGTACAGACTTAAACTTAGAAAAAATATGAAGCCCAAATGTGCAATCCAAAGGAGGATTTGAACCCACAAATTCAGAAACAATGCTCCCAAACAGCTCTATGACACCCAGCTCTATTGAGCTAATGGTAACTTTTTGTTGTTGTTATTCTTTGAGAATGACATTCACTAGACAAAGGTAAATTCATCTTTGCATGTCTAGAGTTATACTGGAGGCAACTGAGACAGGTTCAATATCTTCCAAGCAAAAGTAGAAAAAAAAAAAAAGTGAAATAATTCCGTGAGTTAAACATTTTTGTGGGATTTTTCTTGTTTTAAATGAGCGACAAAGGCAATTTCAGTTGCTGCAATTTTTCGAAACACTAACAGAGGAAACAAAACCAAAAAGGTAAACAACTTTTTATTAAATAAAATAAAGCAAAATTCCTACAAAGCTGATAATGTTTCATAGAAAAAAATCCATTTAATGAAAAAGGCCCATTTTCTGCTGAAAAATATTTTCATGGGACACATTTCAATCAGGATTGTCAGCTGTTACTTGCCTTTCAATCACCAGCTGATGCCCTTGCTCGCATCCCCTGTGCTAGATTCTGTGTGAAGATGCAATAAGCAATTTCTGGTTCACGGAGCTGGGATCCCATTTTGGGAACAGCCGAGTGAAACAACCAGTGGGTGACGGTGCAATAAGATCGCATGGATGCAGCAGGCAAGATGTGGGAACAACCCGAGGGCACAGCACTGCTTGAAACAAACAGCGGCCTCCCGGACAGCCACTCCTTGGCTGGCTCCATGCAGGTGGCCTCAAAGATGTCTCAGGTGGTTTTTGGTGGGATTGTAAGCGGAAAACAAACCAAGAGAGGGTCTGTGGTCTTTCAAGGCAGTGCCGTGGCAGCAATGTAGAGAAGGAAGTGGAATAAAGATGGAGAATGGACTAAAAGACTGGAGCCCTGATAGCAATCACTGGAGTTGCACAGCTCTGAGCAGGTAGGGGAGATGTGAGCTGTCTCCTCCCACACACACATCCCGTTGACTTGCTCCAGTCCCTATTCAAGCCTTGTGTCCTTGTTGCCTGTAACACAAAGCCACAGAGGCCCACCATGATTGCTGGCCTCATTTTGGAAAGATCTCTGTGGGAGCTGAGAACAACCTGGATAAGCACAGCATTTCTCCAAGGAAACACATTTTTTATTCCTCTGATATCCCAAATGTTGTCTTCACAGACTGACAGAATGGTTAAAGTCGGAAGGGACCTCTGTGTCCCTCTGGTCCAAGCCCTGCTCAAGCAGGGACACCCAGGGCAGGTTGCCCACGGCCATGTCCAGGGGGCTTTTGAAGAAAAGGGACTCTACAACCTCTGGGCAGTCTTCACCTGGACCAGTTTGTGATCCAGTTATACGTCCTCCCTCCTCTCTTTCATATCTCTGTTCCTGTGTTCCCTCATTTTCATCTGAACTACCCAAAAATAAGACCAAAGCAAAAACCATGACAAACCCAGCCTGTGATGAACCAAATGCAGCTCCACTTAGCTTCCCCCGGCCAGGGAGGACTTGGGTCTAATTCGCGGCTCACAGCCCAGCTCTGCAGTGACAGATGCTGCCTGAGACTGAAGGAGAAATGATGATGCAAGGCCGTTTCCTTCGAGACGCCGTTCTGTCACCATGGAGGCAGACAGCATGCTCTCAACAAGTTTATCTGCAAAGTAACATGAAAATTCCTCACAGCAGGAGAGATTTGACGGGACGTGCCTAGAACAGCTTTATAAAAAGGTTTCTTCAAATGCTTCCAAATCCCATGCATCTTTTTCTTGCTTTATCATCCTTTTCAACATCCTTCTTCCCCTCTTTTTTTCTTTTTTCTAATGCCTCCACAAGGCACGTTTATCAACATCAAAGCACATTCTCGTACAGCTCAGTTTTTCCCTCTGAATCCACCCTTGCAGAGTCCAAGCATACTACTACTCTCCACACCCAGGAACTTCATCAGGTTGCTGGTGAAAAACTTGCCTCTGTGCACAAAATCTCCTTCAAAGTCTGGGCAGCATTGACATCTTCATGTGAGGAACAAGATCCTTTACACCTCGGTGAATTTCTCTGAGGCAGAGCATTGCTTTGTGATACTCCTACAGAGAGAAAGAGACACTCAGTTGTGCCTGGGCTAAATTTTGGTGACTGTCCCCTAGTGCATTTTTCTTCCCTCCCCAACCAAACCAGATGTGTATGCTGGATTGTATTTATAGGTTGCATTCAGGATGCTTAGCTCAGACAAACAAGTGCTCCAGCTCTGCACTGTTATCACCAGAACCTGCAGGTCCCCTCTGCTGCCATTGCAAGCAGCACTCAAGTCCTTGAAAGTGGTATGACGACCAAGTACAGCCACTTACCCACACACCAGGGCATGGCTGAGTGCAGGCCTGAAGGTGTTGTAACACTGCTTTTCCTTCCCACGTGATCCTCAGATTTATCAGTTTAGGAATACGTGTCTGGTACACAGGCCAGCGTGAAGGCAAACTTGGACCCAAGAACAGGTCTATCTAGTTCCATGCCCTCAAGGATGAGTATCTGCTGTTAAATTACTCTGGCTTTTCTCTCCCTGACTCTCTGCTCTCCTAGTGTGTTGGCATCATTAAAAACAACAAGGCAAAAACAACGGGATCTTTTCACTGACTTTACAATTCAAAGTTGGAAACCAACTGGATGTTAAAAGAGCCTACATCCCCAACACTTCTCCCCTGTGCTGCTTACAGAACATGACCTGGATTTGTCACTGCAGTGTCTTCATCCCAGGAGAACATCTTCCTCTCTCTGTCATTCTCACCCAGAAGAACATTATATCTCCTCTCCTGGGCACTGGCAATGCCACGGGGACAGCCAGGGTGCAGGAGCAGCTCAACACTGCTTTCCTCCGCCCTTCTGGCAAATTCCCATCCAGATCTAAACTCTGCATCTTCAGCCCACCTAATAATCACACTTTGGGACAAACAGGGTACAACATGAGATTTAATTGTATCTAGGTTTAATTCGTCCAGAACAATTGGCCGTAGAAAAGATGGAAAACAGGCTGAAGGATGTATATTCTCTTTTCTCTCAGCGTATAAAGGGCTGTGTGTGTGTTGGGGTGGTGATGGGAGGGGAGAGGGTGAAAGGGGAGCTGGAACTGTGAAGTTTGAAGGTGAAAAAAGTCTTTATATCTGGATTAGTGGAGTCCTGGGGCCTTCAAAAATAGTTAAAATTCCCTTTTTTGAGTAATGGAGAAGTAGTTTGCATTGATCTTAAGAATTTGCTTATAGTTTTCCCTGGAGTTCAATGTACTGGGGAGTGCAAAGCTGACACAGCTCAAAAGTTTTATGAACCTCAGGTAACAGCGTGAAAGGAAATTTTAATAAATATTACATTTATTTAAATTTAATTTTTTTTCCTTGTTAATAATAAAAGCCAACCTTGGTCTTCTGGGCTTTTCTCATATGCCTGCTTAATACAGCAGCCGAATCGTGGAATTATTTATATTTTAACTTCGTTTTCAGTAAATCGTCAATCATTCACCTTTCAAAAGCATTAAATTCAGAGACGAACAGCAGGGGAGAGGAAGACTGAAAAATAAATATTGACTTTCAGGGGTTTGTTTTGTGTGTGTTTTTCTTTTTTTTTTTTTTTTTTTTTAACACAGGGTTAGAAATAGAAGCTGTTGTGGGTGATGAGTAAAAGCACAGAAAAACGAAAAGATATCTGTGATTTCTTCCTGTCATAGACCTGCGGCACTATTTCTGCTTCATTTGCCGGAAGCCAGACTGGTACCAATAGGTATTGGCCTTTGGTGCCTTAAAGAGGCATCTGGGTGAAAATGTGGGGCCTGTCAGTCACTGAGTGAATGCTCTTGTCCTTACAGAGGGCACCTACTACCAGCCATGGATATCGGTAACATAAAAAATAGCTGAGATTCTGAGGAAAAGCCAAGCAAAAGAGGCATGATAGAGTTGAGATGTCCATTGGGATTGCCATAGACCGATCTTTATGCTGTAAGAAGACCACTTTAGGACCCACTCTAGTCCAAGCTAAAGACTACAGCAAGAAGAGCCCAGCTTGCCATCTTGGATAGCACAGGTTGCAGCGCTGCAGTGAGTCATGTACAGGTTGGGTTCAACTAATGTTGCACATTTTTGATTCAAAGCACTGGGAGATGAAATCTCTACCAATAACCATGGCAATTTCTTCCCTGTGATAAAGACCAACAAAACAGATGCCCAGATTCCTGCTTACATCTATTTGTGTTCAGTTTACAGGCACTGGTCTACCCTGTGCCTTTCTTTGTCTTTTAGATTAAAGAGTCCTTTTATTGCAGGTGCACACACACAGCACATCACCATCTGAGCTTGTTGATGAGCTGAACAAATTGCTCTCTTGGAAGCATTTTCTCCAGCCCAGACTTGTGAGGGCTTCTGCATGCTGGCCAATTTCTTACTGGCCCTGACAAAGCACATATCCTCAAACTGGACTTAAGTTTTCATTATCCATCCCCTTGTGACTTATACTGAGCTACAAGTAGTTCTATCCTTTCACCAGCCTCCTTCAGGGTGGCATTAGTTAGTTCCACCATCGTACTGAGACTTCAAGTCCAGAGGAAGGACCATTTTTTAGAACCTCTTGATCCTCTTCAGAGTCACTGCCTTTCAGAGGGACTCCCACAAACCCCAGCACACTAGGGCTGGCCAGATGGAAAGCAGCTTTGCAGAAGAGGACCTGGTGGTCCTGGTGGACACCATGGTGCATCAGGAGCCAGCAATGTGCCCTTGCAGCAAACAAGGCCAACAACCTCCAGGGCTGTCCTAGGAAGGGCATTGCCGGGATGTTGAGGGAGGCAATCCTTCTCTGGTCAGCACTGGTGAGACAACTGATGAACCGGAGACACTGAGATCTCTAACTAAATAGCTTGTTGAAGGGAAGGCTCAAGAGGAACTTATCAATATGTATAAACATCTGTATGGGCAAATAAAGAAGACAAAGCCAAACCCTTCCCAGTGGTGCCCAGTGAAAGGACAAGAGGAAAAAACTGAAACGCAGGAAATTCCATGTAAATGTCAGAGGGAACTCTAACAGTGAGTTGTTAGAGTTCCCTCTGACAACTCCAGAGGAGTTGTGGAGTCTCTCTCTCCCTCCTTGGAGACATTCAAAACTTAACTGGACATGGTCCTGAGCAACTAGACAATAGCAAACTGGATGATTTCCAGTTAGCCTCAGCTATTCGGTGATTCTGTGTTCACCCCTCTGTAGCTTCAACCTGTCCCCCTGCTTCCCATTCTTTCTCCCAGTTAGATACTGTGAAAATGAGTGCTCTACGTGTCTGGACTACTGATGGGTCCAGAGTCGTTTCATGCACTCTCAAGCCATATTAAGCACCCCTCCAAACTTTAGGTTATCTGTACGTTTTAGTGAGCAGTACTGTTTTTATTTATTTCCGGACCATTGATGGAAACACTACATTGCATCCAAGCTATGACTGCCTTCTCAGAAACACTATAGAAAAGTGCTCATTAAACAGATTTTCTGCTTATAATTTCCTTCCATGATCTGTCAGCTACCCATTTCTTAATATATTGAATATTAGCATATTAAAAAAAAGAAAAAAAAGAAGAAGAAGAAAAAAAAGCCTAAGATTTCCAGCCCTTACAGCATCTGTGTCCTTTTTCTATTCATTAACAGCAAGAGATGCCTAGGAAATTACTGTAAGACTTGCAATGCTTTCCCATGCCCCCACACATTCTCCCAACTTCTGATAACAGGAGGTAAAGGCATTCCTGTACCAGTGGCAGCATCCAGACTATCGTGTCCTATGGCCAGCAGCAGATCTGCCTTAGTCTACTTGTTGTTTAACCTGTTTGCACTTTAGTTAAGAATTCCTCACCTGGATTGTATGCCCTGGGGAAAACCAGTCCCATCTTTTTCTTTAAACTTGCCTGTTCATTTTGCTGCATGTCCTCTCCAGCCTGTGGCATGGGAAGCTGTGAGCCATCATGCCTTTTTCATGTAATCCCTAGCACTCAAGATTTCATAGTCTCCCATTCAGGCCAGGGTTTGCTCTAGGTTTGTCAATCACCTTGTGATAGGCTTGTCCCCAGGGAAGACAGTCAGTCCTTCCCTGTCTGCCCTCAGAGCTGACATAGACCTCTGTGATTAGACAACAACAAGGCTTTTGCCCTTTGCAGCCCAGGCTGCCACCCCATGCCACTGCCCTTCCAGCTCCAGCTGGCCTGAAACCGCATCTCTCTGGGTTGCATCCAGTTGGGACAACATGTTTCCTTTGGAAGCCAGACAAGAAACCTCTCTGGTTCACAAGGAAACAGGGGCAGGAGCCCTTACAAGCTTCTGCCCTTTGCAGAAAAGCATTCTCCTTCCCTGCTGCCCTCCCCAGGCAGGCAGGCAGCAGCTCACCATGCAAGAAAGCAAAAGAAAGAGGAAACAAAAGTTAAACAGAGGTTAAAGGAATAGGAGAAGAAAAACAGATGACCCCCTGGAGTCTGGGGCCGAGCAGCAGGAACAGTGGGAGCCCCTGGAATCCAGCTCATCCATCCACACTGCCCTTGCTGCCTTCCAGTTCCCAGGAGGGGGCCTAATAAATTTTACAAAAGAGCAAACAGCTGAAAAATGCTCGCATTTAAAAATATATTGAGGGAATTTGCATGTTGTTCCCTTTTGTGTGGGGATGGCATTTATACACCCGGCGTTTCAGCAGCACCGCATCTCAGAGCACTTTACATAGCAATTAATTACACACTGGTAGTGGAGTGACTGTCTACAGGCAACCTCATCAGCCATTATCCACTCAGCAACATCCAGCATACAGCTGTGAACATTTGCATTAGCAGAAAGTCGTCTCGGCTGCCATTAGCAGGGTGCGGGAATGTCAGGGAGGATGCTAGGGGTCGTTTCACCCCCGCTCCTTCCCGAAAAGCCTTTAGCAGCTACCATCACAGCCTTCACAGGCAAGCTTATGACCCTTCCCTCATCTCACCCCAGCTTTGGACCAGGGAGATGTGTCATCAGCCTACAGCACGCTGCAGTCCAGAGCATGCACCTCGTGCCACGTGGTGCCATCTTATCCCTCAACGAGGGAATGGATGGGAGCCTC